GTGCAGATCTGGATGGGGAGGAACAGGCTCAAGCTCAACCCTTCCAAGACTGAGTGGCTGTGGCTCCCGGCATCCCGATATAGTCAGTTGACTCCATCACTGACTATTGGGGGAGAGTCTTTGTCCCCCACAGAAGGGGCTCGCAATCTGGGAGTCCTCCTGGATAGACAGCTGTCCTTGGAGGAACATCTGACAGCTGTAACCAGGGGGACCTTTTGTCAGGTTTGCCTGATTCGCCAGTTGCGGCCCTTTCTTGATCGGGATTCCCTGTGCACAGTCACTCATGCCTTCGTCACCTCTCGCCTTGACTACTGCAACGCTCTCTACATGGGGCTCCCCTTGAAGAGCACCCGGAGGCTCCAACTGGTCCAGAATGCAGCAGTGCGGGTAGTGATGGGAGCAGCATGGCGCTCCCATGTAACACCGCTCCTGCGCGAGCTGCACTGGCTCCCAGTGGTCTTCCGGGTGCGCTTCAAGGTGCTGGTTATCATCTTTAAAGCACTCCATGGCATCGGGCCTAGCTATCTTCGAGACCGCCTGCTGCTACCAACGACCTCCCATCGTCCCGTGCGCTCCCACAGAGAGGGCCTCCTCAGGCTGCCATCAGCCAATCAATGCAGGCTGGTGACCCCCAGGGGGAGGGCCTTCTCTGTGGGGGCACCTACCCTCTGGAATCAGTTGCCCCCAGAGATAAGGAGAATCCAAGACCTTAGCGCCTTCCGCCGTGCCCTTAAAACCCACTTTTTCCAGCAAGCCGGGCTGGCTTAAGAAGAAATTTTAAATGTTTTAATTGGTTTGTATTTTTAATTTTGGGCCAAATTTATATATATTTTAATTGCTTTTATTATTTGTATTTCATATTTTTTAATTCTGGCTGTACACCGCCCTGAGTCCTCAGGGAGAAGGGCGGTATATAAATTTAAAAAATAAAAAATAAAAAAAATAAAAAAAAGTTTCCTTAATTAAATCTATGACCTGAGGTGATCTTCGCTGGAGATTATGGGAATTGCAGACCAAATCATCTGGAGGGTACCAAATAAATAAAATATTTTAAGAATAACTGTATTATGAAATGAGGAATCCTAACTTGCTATCACCATAAACTGAATAAAGTACATGACCTAGTTTGCCTGCTTTAATTTATTGACATACTATATTTCAAAGTTTTCTTAGCAACTATGAAAGTTCTGGATTTAAAAATTTGTAGAAGTTGAGAAGTTAAAACTTGTAGTTTATAACCATGAACTGAACCATGCAGTTCATAGATAGTGATAAATATTACTTCTGTAGGGATATCACCTCAGCAAGAGACAGCAGCCAGTCACCACTGGCTGATCTCAGAAGCTAATTAAGTTTGGCCTTAATTTATACTTGGATGGGGGAATCACTGAGAATTCCAGAGCTATAGATTAGTTTTTTAAAAAACACCTTTTACTTTACTTTTAAAGTACTGAGCTCAACTTGAGAGAGCTTTTATCAGTTTTCATTTGCATATAGAGCACTGGTATTACTTCATATAGTATCTAAGGGTGTAATCTAATGCACAGTTTTCATGGATGTGTTCCATGAGGTCCTATGGTTGTTCAAGAGGTTGATGGGGCTCTATGAAAGACTGGAGGGTAGGGAATAAGGTTCAATTGAATGCAGCCAATTTTCTATAAACTATAAACTGCATGGACTTCAATGATCAAGGATACGAAACACTAAACTAGAACTTTGCCTTTTGGCCAGAAATTCCAGGAAATCCTGTTTTTTCTTTACTGTTAGGTTCTGCAAACTGGAAAAAATTGAAAGCTAATCTAAACCACAAAGAAAGGGTTCTATAGATCATGGCCCAACACTGATGTTTCCTTTCCATGTGGCATCTAGTGTTGTCATATTATCCTGCCTTGGTTATCTTAAAAATCAACAGACATGTTTTGGTCCTGTGCTAATTTGGCCCCTGCCCAAATGCATAGGGTTCTGCAAACAAATTGGCATTGCAGCTCCCAAAATCCCAGTCAGTCTGGCAATGGGAAGTTTTCATCTCAATATAACTGGAAAATATCAGGTTGGGAAAGTTGTCCACTCCTTCCTACCTCCTTCATCTTCTTGGCCCAGGGTTTCTGTGCTTTCCGAAAACCATCTTCTGCTTCCTTGACCTCCTTGAAGCCTCCTATGATCTGTTTGTGGAAAGCATCCTTCTGCCAGTTCTTCACCTTTTCAAAATCATCATTCAGTAGGCTATTCTTAACTTCTTGGTGTAGCTCACTGACTTTGTCTGCCTCTGTCATTATAGCCATCCATGCTTTTTCCAAACTGCCATACTGGGGACCTGTGCAAAAATATCATCAGTAAGGATGGGATATTGGCTCAGCATCCTGAAATAACAGCCCATTTTTTCTGTACAGACTGAATGCTCCTATAATGTACTCAAAAGTTGAGAGACGGTTCTATTTTATTAGCAAATGAATTGTTCAGAGACCTGAGAAGCCCACAGTGATGAGGCCTCAGGGAGACTCTCAGAGCCTCTCAGACACCCTAGCTGCAGACTTTGTGATTATTGTTTGTGATCGTAAAAGATCCAGTCAGAATAGAATAGAATAGAATAGAATAGAATAGAATAGAATAGAATAGAATAGAATAGAATAGAATAGAATAGAATAGAATAGAATAGAATAGAATAGAATAGAATTCTTTATTGGCCAAGTGTGATTGGACACACAAGGAATTTGTCTTGGTGCATACGCTCTCAGTGTACATAAAAGAAAAGATACATTTGTCAAGAATCATAAGGTACAACACTTAATGATAGTCATAGGGAAACAGTCAATATAAATCTTAAGGATACCAGCAACAAGATTAGAGTCATACGTGGGAGGAGATGGGTGATAGGAATGATGAGAAGATTAATAATAATGCAGACTTAGTAACTATTTTGACAGTGTTAAGGGAATTATTTTTTTAGCAGAGTGATGACGTTCCAGAAAAAAATGTTCTTGTGTCTAGTTGTTCTGGTGTGCAGTGCTCTATAGCGTCGTTTTGAGGGTAGGAGTTGAAACAGTTTATGTCCAGGATGCGAGGGGTCTGTAAATATTTTCACAGCCCTCTTTTTGACTCGTGCAATATACAGGTCTTCAATGGAAGGCAGGTTGGTAGTAATTGTTTTTTCTATAGTTCTAATTATCCTTGACTTTACATGACTTTACATGACTCCTATCTACTCATACTGATATTTAAATCAGTAATCATGGGAGCCACTCTAAAAGTCATGAAGTGGAAGATCAAATCTTCAGGGAGTTTTTTTTTTTTTTAATGAACGACATCATGGCTGCTTTGAAAACTGAAGCAGTGGTAATGGCAGATGGTTAAATACTCACTCCTCCCAAGACTCAGTTCCTCAGTCCTCAAAGCAATTGCAAGAGCCTGTTGTTTATGAAGCTAAACATTGGCAACCTGCTGCCCTCCAGATGTTTTGGATTACAAATACATAGCCCCTTGCCATCGATCATGCTGTCAAATCTGATCGGTGTTCAAGGTGCAAAAGCTTGGAAGACACCAGTTTGCTCATACAACTGCCCGAACAAAATAAATGCCTATAACCCTGCTCCCTTTCGTTATGCCTCCATCATGTAGAACAGGATACCACACTGGTATTGGATATGTACTACAATATATTTACAAGAAGATTATAATTATATATACAATTTAGTGCAAGGAAGTTCCACTGAACTGGATTAGCTTCTTAATAAGCATGCATTTCATTGAACGGCAATATTTATAAAACTTGTGAACTTTTAGTGGTGCTCTGGCTCATTCTGATTGAATGGCTTAATAAATACATTACATACTATTCTTAAATTTAAATGGTTTTTACTGCAATAATCCTGGATATACTTTTATCTGGAAGTAATACCTGTCAAAATTAAGAAGTAATGGTCTAGAAAGGCCCACAAAACTGCCTTTAAGGAAACTTCAAATATAGGATAACAGCAGTTTATGAACAGCCACGTTTTCCTTTTAAAGTAAATGAAAACAACTGAAGAAAAAACTCCTTGGGGTCTCTCTCCCCCATATTGTCCAGATTGAACCAAAAGGGGAAAAAACTAGTTGTGCAGATTGCAATTCTCTCCCCCTTTTGCCTTGGAAAAAGCTCCCTCCCAGCCTACTCTTCTACGCTATTATAAGGAAAGACTTAGAAATACCTTTTTCTATCAGTTGCCTCCACCTCTTGGCCCAATCAACCAGCTGCTGAGCATACGCCTTCTCAATCTTGGCCCGTTCATGGACACAGTTCATCAGATCATTGCAAAGCCGATATCCATCATCAATCCGCTTCACTGTCCGCTTATAATTCCCCACCTGCCAGACACATGAATAGTTGCCTGGAATAAGTGACTGACTGTAGTTCCAGGAATCATCCTGGAGGCCAGGTTGGCTCAGGACATCAGGGGAGAGGGAAACGCACCCTGCAGGAAGCATATGCACCAGAGGGTGGGGAACAGGAAAGGTGGGGGAGAAGAGGGGGCATTTGATTTCAAAAGAGGAAAAACTCTTGAAAATCTGATTGCCATGGATATATTTCTGCCTCTTTACAGAAAATTCTGAGTGACTCTTCCTTTCAAACAACAGATACTTGATAGATTAAATTTGCTGCATTTGCACAAATACTGGGAAGGAATCAGGCTGCTTAGTAAGGAAGAGCCTCAGAATTTGCCAGCTGACATAGCTCTGGGACATTTTGCAATTATTGTAATGTCTTAGAGCTCTGCCATAGTGCGGTGCTAAAATTTAACCATTCCCTTTTCAGCGTGAAAGGTATATTTTGAGGATAAAGAGTACATTTCCTGATTCCTCTCCTGCAAAATTGGGGGGGGGGATGTATGTGCTTACAATGATTGTGCAATCTGTCACTGTCCCATTCTCATCTAATTAGCCTGAACTTTTTGCTCTTTCATCACAATGATTCCACTTTATCAGAAATCATTCCATTGTTGTATTTTAAACCAGCCAAATAGGTTTGGCTACCTGGCAAATTAGGATGACTAAGAATGAGAGCAAAACCAATACACTTATTTTTTAGCAACTACAACATTACTAAGCCTAAATTTACAACATCCCCCTCTCTCTAAATGGTGAATATGGTCTCCTTTTTGACCAGCAAAAATATTTATCATTAATTTATTATAATTATTTAAGTATATTATATCTTTTAAGATAGAAATCCTACCAAAGTATTTCATAAATTAATCGTCATAAATAAAAAATGTTATTGTTGTCATAATACAATTTCTAAAATCCTGCTCAATAATAATGTTTGTCATTTTGACATGTATTTCAGTGGACTGAATGTGTAGTTTTGGAAAATCTGTTTTAAAAAGAAACAATTGTATGCCAACACCTGGACACTGATGGTGCAAGCCAACTTTCATTTGAGAAATACTCTGTTATCAAAGGCTTTGGTATATCTAAAGCACTTTAAACCCCATCAGGGCAGAAAAATGTTTGTGGCCCATCCTTTCTTTCTGAATCATTTAAAAATATCTGTTTATGAGATCTCTTTCTCACTGCAAAGAAAAGGAATTTATTCATGCCAGCTTCACGAACACCATATCTAAGGGGGACTGTTCAGGAGGTCAGAAAGGCCTCCTGAAAAATCTGATAGAACACAGCTTTTTTCTTTGCATCTCCACTAGTTCTGATATCAGCAAGGATTTCTCTAGAAAGCTTCTGGAGGAAACAGGCAAGGACTTTAATTTTTGTTAAATTTTGTGTGTGTGGAGGTTACACCTCTCTAATATCATGGGAAGAAATTGAAAAATCTCATAGAACCTTAGAACTTTCTCATGGAAGCTTTCTAAACATATTTACTTTTTAAAGTGACTGTGTTCCCTAGTTCCATGGGATTTCAGCATCCTCGGGAAGAAAAGCTGTTTTACATTTGGCTGGCTCTTACTAAGTTAAATCACTCCTTAGTTAGCCAATCATAAACATTTCTGTCATGCCAAGGGGAAGTCGTTACCTCCCAGAAGCTGTCAGTTACTTCTTCAACAGATGCCACAGACTCATCACAGGAAGTTGACATTGTTTGCGGCCCTGGTTATTTATCGCCAAGGGGTCAGCCGCTCTGCCAACAGGACCAGACCTCATACGCTGCAAGGAAACAACACAAATATGTAGGGGAAACAATCACCTGAACATTACCTGGAAACAAAGAGAGGCCTTCTGGGAGACAAAATGCATGGTTTTCTGTTATCTTCCCATTTATGTGAACCTTCCACCTTTTGTCTGACGGTAAACAACCATGTTCTGATTTTTTTTTATTATTATTATTTATCCAACACACCCTCTTTTCAAACATTCTCTCTCAGCAGGAAACAAATCTAGGGACATAAGGTCTTTCTGCATTTTTACAGTTTCTAGGCATAATTAATTAAATGCCACCATGTCAGATTGTAAAGCTTAAAAGTAAAACTCGAAGAACTTGTTCTGATTTTCCGAAAACATCTGCTAAATAAGAAGCACTTCATAAAGAGAATGTAGAAATATTTCAGCAGTTACAAAAAATAATTGTACATGACAGAAATATACACAGTGTAAATAAGGTTCTCAAATAGAACTGTTGTGCACTTTTATTGGCTTTCAATACTCCATAAATATTTTGTGATATCTTCAGTAGCAGGTCACATGACACAAACAAAAAGTTGCTGGGAAAACTTACTAGAATTGGCCCTTTATCAGGCTTTTGAGCTATTTTAATTTAATTGCAAATTATTCTTCAGGGAAATCATTTCCTTAACATTAAAATTCCTACAGAATGTTCTGAAATTGTCTTAAATCCAAAATGATAAAATCAAACTATAATTAGAGTTTGCTAATTGGAGAAGATGAGAATATTTCTTATAGTTCAAGACAAATAGGAATGCTGGATTTGGGATGCAAACATTGGGATGCAAACAAATCATTCCACATTTTCAGCACAGTATGAACAATTTTAAACTCAACTGAATGCAACAGATTTGATTAGGCTGGTATTGAAAGAAGATTTTGCCTGCAGTATAGTGTGTGTGTGTGTGTGTGTGTGTGTGTGTGTGTGTAGCTGAATTCTCCCATTGCATTAATTCATAATTGTTTTACAGTGGCTTGATAAATAAGGTAATTAGCTTTTTTTTTTTTTTTTTTTTGCAGCCAGAGACTAAGGCTGATTATATCATGTCATTAGAATGACATGTCCAAAATGTTTGGTTGTATTTTGGGAGTTTAGGGAGGATTTAAGTGGTTTTATTTTGCTTCTAAGAAGAATAGACCCAACTTGAGCAATTCCTTTGTTTTTTTGTTTATTTTGTTGGATTGATATTGTTACTTTCAGTCTCTTAAGGCAAACTATCAGTGTCAAATTTGTTGAAACTTTGATCCTGACCACTTTGAGGAACTCTGAATAATGAGAGCTCCAAGATCAGAATCAGAATAGAGCTGGAAGAGACCTTGGAGGTCTTCTAGTCCAGCCCCCTGCTCAAGCAGGAGATCCTATACTATTTCAGACAAGTGACTGTCCAGTCTCTTCTCAAAAACTTCCAGTGATGAAGCACCCACAACTTCTGAAGGCAAGCTGTTCCAGTGGTTAATGGTGTTCACTGTTAGGAAATTTCTCCTCGATTCCAGATTGCTTCTCTTCTTGATTAGTTTCCAGAGGCATGTTTGACTCTGGAGATGCAAATGGCCCATTCTCATAAATATGATCTGCATCACATAATGTCTAAGTTGCTAAATATGCCATATGCAACCTCAGCCAATGATGGTGTGCAGGAGAATATATTTCAGTTGGCTAACCTAATAGATTATTGAACCACATGGAGGAAAAAGAGAGAATTTATTTTCTTTCAGGAAGCATCAGTTGCTTTAGCACCTTCTCCAAGATAAAAATCACACATAGCAGAGAAGCAAAGAAACAGACCAAGTTTATTTTTTACATTGTTTGTTTTTAACCTTGAATTTACATGAGTAAAGGCCAACATATGTTCAGTTAAACCCTTATTATTCAGGTGAGATCAGAGATTCTGTAAAAACAAGCTTTTTTGAAGTAGCTGTCATGTAACACTGCCACTTCCAAATCATCCTCACTTGGATGATAATCATAGCAGAAGCCAGCCTTCCCTTAACATCATCCCTATCCAGCATATTTAACAGATGTTTTAGCTGAGAATAAGGGTTGCAACTGAATGACAAAGCTTGAGAAGTTTATAGTTGTAGATGATAGATGGAAGAGGAGAAAAATGAAGAGAACCAGATAGGGAAAAGCAACATTACTATCTCTCTTTTAGATAACCAAATCCTGCCCTCTTTTCTGTTGTGCCTGAACTATCTGCCTTTTTCTCTGCAGTCCCAGAATGCTTGTCCAATCTCTATCTGCAGCAAATTAAACTCAGGCAGCAAATCAATTTGGAATTTAAAAAAATGCTCTCAATAATAATAAAAAGAGACAATGGTAGATTTAACCCTCTTCATCCTCCCATCTTTACATAAACAATATGCATTTCTTTTCACCATGCTCTTAATCCTTTAAAACCTGTTCTGATTTATATATGGGTGTTCAGATATGGAACATTATGCTAACAATTCATCTAGAATCCAGCCCTGTTACTGTATAAACAGCTTTCCCAGATGACGCTGAGCTGGGCAAACATCGTGCTTGATCAATATTTATTTAGATCAACACATATATTTCCTGTCATCCTCAAAGAAAGGTGGACTTAACCTGGCTCTAGGCTCTGCATAATTCATCTCAATATGTTGAGTGCCCTAGGTTTGACATTTTTGTATGGGTAGTAACTGATCTTATGGGAAGACTATGCTCCCATCCATGCATAGGATAAGGCAATGAAAGGAAAGGCTGATTAAGAGAAGAAACTGTGGCAGAAGAAAACTGTGGGAAAGTGTATTTGTTCTTCCTCTGAACACCAGCTACACAGGATTTCTTGCCTCTACTGAATCTTAGTTTCTATTTGTATACAAATGTCAAATCAGATGACTTCTACCATAACCACAATATTATGTGAGGAAATATAAAGAGAATCTCAATTTGCAATTGGAATGGACTGGATATAATAAATGCCACTGATGCCAGATCAGTACATTGTATCAATATAAAAACCCTCAGCTGGGAAAATATTTCATGTTAAGAAATGACGTATGATCTATTGGTGGCAACATGAATTTTGCATGTATGAATCAATTTCATGCCTCATGCCTTTTCATTTCCTCACTGGTGAAAGATATTGTTTCAACATCATGTGAAATCTGATTCAGTTTTATATTGTTGTATGATCCATATTACAAAATGTTCTTGATCCCAAAATCAGCCGTTTGTCAGAATGCAAAATGACACAAGCACAAATCCTAGGAAGTGAACAGAGATGGGATGAATTGCTTACCTGCAGCCCTTGGAAAGTGACACTGACACATCCAAATCCTAGAGCCTTGGCAATGTGCCTATGGCACTGATTGCTATCTGCAGTGTTAGAAGACCCTTAAGGTTATTATGCAATTTAGCTTGGAGTTGACAAGAATCCATTTATACTGACCTAACCATTTAGAAATGAAGACTAGACAGAATATATCTTGGTCAGCCAAGAATTGCTGCTTTAAGAAAGAGATTACTGATTAACCCAAATACTTCTGCTCTCCTTGCTTTGGAACAGGAGTTCCATGAGTTTAATCATGGGCAGAAGGGGAATGGATTTTTTTCTTTGGTAGGCTCAACTGATACAGGATTCTGTGTTGAAATGGTTACAAGAGCTTCTGACATCGTCACAAAAGCTCACTGCAGAGGAACTAATTGCACCTCCAGGGGATTTGCTGTTATCAGAAACCTACAGTCCAGGCCACCCTTGAAAATAAATGTCTGACTGCATTCCTCATATGTTGTCACAGCCATGTGCAGATACATAAATGGATTGAGAAAGCAACACATCTGGCAGTACACATGTGCATACTCAGACATAGCAATAGACATTATAGGTAGCTACAGAGCAGAAAACATGTAGCTCTCAGGAATATAAATGAAGAAACATGCATGCCTAAAATATACTTAATACTTAATCATGATGGCAAGGGTAGCAGCTCACTTACAGTATAATCCATGTCCACAATTATGCATTAACCATGCAGAAAAATACACCCACTGGTTAATAAAACAGTGAAGGCTTGATAGTGATATTCCTGTGAAAAAGAGGTCAAGAAGCTGCTTGCCTAAATAGCAATATACCAGCCTTCCTGAATCTATGCACTTCCTTATTAGTACCACCAAAAGCAAAATCCAGATATTATGACAGGCATTAAAGCTGCAATATTACCTTGCTATGGTTTTGGCAACAGAGCAAAAGTAAATGGCTTGATTTTTAATTATAGGCCCACTGTTCTTGGCCTTTGATCATATTCACTGTGGATAATAATAGATCATGGTAAAAATATCTAGAGGGCATGAGGAATTTCTCATACTCTTCAACTAGAATGAATGAACTGATTTATTACCAGTTCTTAAATGTTATTATCCATCTATTACAATTGTCATCTAACGGTGGAAGATGAGACTTAATTCAAGTATCATTCTCCCATATGAGGAACACCTGCTATAGCCTGCCTCAGTAAGGAATTCTCAATAGAGAAAATACACTGTCACTTTTCATATAAACTCTATCCTCCATAATTGTTCCTATCAATCTCTGATTGCCTAGGTAGGTATGAAATGACAGCAATATCAGAGCTGTGAACAGACACAGTAAAGCAATGAGACCACAATGTGTTTGTGTCTGTTTATGTCACCAAGTAAGCTAGCTCCTAATTACTGAGTAAACTAATTATCCAAACTAAGAAAACAAGGCATATCTACTAGAAATACAGCACTAGATTATTCTTCCTATTGAAACAACAGAATGTAGAATGACATCTGCACTAGAATGATGATGATGAGCTACCATATTGAACAAAAGAAATCTGTGGAAGTAAGAACACAGGAGAAACCAGAGCTGAAGGAGGAGTAATAGAGCAATGGAAAGGTTGGAGATAAAATAGATATAAAACTGAAATAAAGATTCCTATTGGAACAATGTGATCAAACTAAAGACACCAAAGACTTTCTCCACTGTCTAGGTGAT